AGGAAATAAAAAATATGTAACTACGCATATATATAATAAATATATACATATAACTAGAGTACAGAATGGCAAGAAATAACCAAAAATTGATGCATGCACAACTCTGGCTGCTGTTGGGGGACGTGGGGCAAGAAGGTAGCTGAGAGCCCGCATCTAGTGAAATGCTTACGTGATATTTGAAGTTGTCAGCGTGTGTGTGAGTGTGTGCGTCATGTACTGAAGGTCGCAGGGAGGGCAGCAGCAGAGACACAGAGCCAGAGACAAGTCAAGTCAGCGCATTGCTGCATACAAAAAAGGGGACACCGAGCACGAGACACGGGACAAAGTCTTTCGTTTGCTTTTGTGTCGCTAGAGTTGCCACAGAGTTTTCGAGGGTGTCAAACTTGAAGCTGTCAAAAGTTATGCTGGGTATATGCAGACGGCCTGGCCCATCGACGTGAGCCAGTGCGTTGCTGTCAACAGCTGCATAGACACGCGCCGGTTCAATATTGATGGCAAGTTTTGAGCCAGCGCCAGGCACAAAGTCAGCGATCAAAAGCGCATTTAAAGGCAACGGCAGCAGCTAGAGCAGGGAACGCCAAAACCGCAAGCTGCAGCAGTAGCAGCAGCGACAGTTGAATGTGCCCCAAACCGCTGTTCGACGCACAAATTGCCCCCAAATGAGCCGCCAGCCACGTTCAGCCTGAAAGTTTGCTACAATAAAGTGCAGCAGCCCAAGTCCATGTGCCTGTGTGTGTGTGTGTGTGTGTGTGTGTGTGTGTGTACACCGGTTGTTGCGTGTTTACGCAACGTAACCAAAGTCAAAACCTCGATTAGGATTCAATCTGCTGCGGGCCACACACGCACACACACGCAAGCTCGATGTTTGTCCTTGTAGTCCTTGTTGTTGTTGTTGTTGCGCCGCAGGTCAGCTGCAAAGTCAAACCGATTAAAAGGCACACATGCCCAGCGCAATGCTTTTGTGTCCGAATAGGTGCAATGTGAGTGAGGCGTATTCTTCAAGGGGCAATTAACTGCGCTGCGCTCGAAAGTATGCAGCAAAAAACTGAGGACCGCAAAAAATAGTAGCTATGCGTGTGTGCGTGTGTGTGTGTGTGTGGCTAGCATAGATTAGATTTTTGCTCCCCTCACCAAACCAGTAACAAAATATTTAGCACTGGCAGCTGCTGTCGCTGTTGCTGCTGCTGCTGCTGCTGCTGCAAAGGGACCGCAACGTTTGCCCATAAAACTGCCATTAACGCCAGGAGTCCTGCCCAGAGCAAAGTGTTTTCTTTTTTTCTCCTTTGGTTGGCGTTCACTTAAAGCGCTTAAATTTTTGAAAGATTTTGCTTTAGTCGCTGCTGTCAGCAACATGCGCGTCCAATTGCAATTAGCCAAGGTGCAAGAAAAGAAAAAAGTCAAACTCAGCCACAAGTGGGCGAAACGAACACGAAACCAATTTAAAGCAGCTGCAGCGAAAAAAAAGTAACGCCAACGCAAAAACAACAAACAGAGCGAAAACAAGTAAGAAAGCTCTAGTCGAGACTGCTCGACTACGAGATCCCCTGAACCCTTGGAGCAATAGATATTTCAATACTTTTTCGCGACTTTCAGCTTACCCAAGAAACACGCACACACACACACACGCACGTACGCACACACAGGCATACATACACAAACGCATACACACACACACATACACACACACACATACACAAACACATACACACACAAGCAACCACGCATAAACACGCATGGGCTGCAGTGTGCGCTTACTATGGGAACTTAATTGTTTAATAACTTTTTTTATGGACGTACGATCTTCATGAAACTTTTAGATTATGATTATAACATGAATATGCATGTGATTGCCAAAGCACAAGTCTCTAGTATTTGAAATACGCTTTTTACAAAAGTGAGGGTGAGGGGGTGAATTTAGAGGTGGGGGGTAAATTTTAACAAAAACCGAAATTGTATAAATTGCATATAAGCATACATTAAAAATTTGGAGACTCTAGCAATAAAGGTGTAGAAGATATAATTTTATAACTGGGTTTCGATAAGGTTTTTTATCGATAAAAAAGATCGAAATGAGTTATCGATTTTTAATGATAAACTTGATATGCGCGCTGTAATTACGGACATTTTAAAAAAATTTGAAGTCTCTAGCTCTTATATCTTCTGAAATCGACGCGTTCATACATACGGACAGACGGACAGACGGACAGACGGACAGACGGACAGACAGACGGACAGGGCCAAATCAACTCAGCTCGTCACCCTGATCAAGAATATATATACTTTGTGGGGTCTGCCACGCCTCCTTCTGCCTGTTACATACATTTCAACAAAACCATTATACCCTGATTTCCCATTGAAAATGGGTTCAGGGTATAAAAAGAGGAAGAAAATAATAATAATATACTCAAGGCGTCGACGTGAAGGTCTTGGCGGGCGGACCACGCCCAGCTGCTTGAGTGAGCGGCGTCTGCAGCAAATTAATTTCGCCGAGTGTCTTTTGCAGCAGCCCGCGGACATGGCCAAGAAGTCCTTGGCAGTCCAGACGACAGCGAAAACAAAGTTGAAGGTAAGCCAACGGATGGCAGCTCGCCTTTCCGCCGCCGCCGAGTATCTGCCTCTACGTATCCACAAGTGTTTGGTGTCTCGGCATTAGAATTTCAATCTGTAGCGCAAACAATTCATTTAGCGCTACTTTAGCACAAGTCTCCATCTCAATCGCGGCCATCATATTCCTGTTTAAACACAAATTGCGGTGCGCCCGTAAATCGTTTGTGGCGAATAAAATAAATATGAGAACGAGAATGAGCAAAAAAAAAAAAAAAAAAAAAACGAGCATAAAAAGATTGTAAGCCGCAGCATATCAAATTACCCAAGCAGAGCCGGGCAGATGACAAAGTGCGAGGCATGCGGCATGTGGCATGCGGCATGCGGCAAGGTGTAGTCGGCAAAGTAAGTCAGCTACTTGATAAGTGAATGCCTGCCCTCCGCGGCGAGGGTTGCCTTCACGTTGTGCGGTTGACAGTCGACGCATTTGATGCGATGCTGAAAAATTGTTGCTAATTTTTTATAGCACTGACAGCCCAAAGAAGTTATCCGGCCCGGGACTATCGCATTGCACGGGAGCTTAAGTGAAAATGGTTGGCATTTTCATTTTATTAGAGCTGAATGTTGAAGTAGGTAAACTGGGGCACGGCTCATGTTGAAAGCCGCGCAACAAGCCCAGCGCAACGCAACAAATACAAATAAATGATTGTCAAACAAATCTGTGAACTCAAAGAGGCTTATGCTGATGGAGTTACTACGATTTGAAATATGTGTTGTGCTGAGAGTGCTTTCAATTGTTTTAAATTGCTATGAAATGGAAGACAAGGGAACATGTGCTTTTACGCAAAGACCTTTGCAGTTATATAGTAAATCTGATTTAATGAACTTTGATATTCATTTGGTATAGTAAATCTGATTTAATTATCTTTAACATACATATGGTATTTTCTATACAACAAATCGCACACTAATTGTCTTTTAGAGCAATTTGAAATGTGAACTTGACTGTAAATGCACATGAGTAAGAGGGACAACCGATGACTTGTGGAGATGTGCAGCAGCCAAAATACCATTGCAGTCTACTCAGACAACGGTATCGAACTTATGACGACCTATCGCGTGCAAGCAAGGACTCACAGACTGAGTTGCAGTCATGGGAGAGAGGGACAGATATACAATTTGCATATGATCCGCCCTTTGGGTAACAGGAACAACCGATCACTCGAAGAGAAGTTCACAAACTAAACTATGTCTACAAAGATAACGGGATCGAGCTTTTGACGACCAATCGTTTGCATGCAATCGACTCACAGCTTTGCTGCAGCTTGCTGCTCACTCGTAATGATCAGTTAGGCAGAGAGGGAGAGATGTAAAAGTTGTATTTGCTCCTCTCTTTGCACTTTGCGTGCACTGCTTCCACTCAAGCAAGAAACGCACCACACAGAAATGCTAAGCCGAAAGCCAACATAACGGCATATGCTGGACACATTTAAGTCTCCTTATTGTGCTCCTTTTGCTTTATTTTATATTTACATATCCTTACCTCATTTGTCGCAACCAATAGGCCACAAACACACACACACATACGCAGACACTCACTCACCTTTTGAACTCACAATCATTGTTATTGTTGCTGCTGTTGCAGCAGCAGAAGCAACAACTGTTCATTGTCTTGTAAAAGCAGCCGCAACAGCTGCCCAGGGCGCCCAACCACAGTGCCACAGTGCAATTTGAGCAGCCACAGAAAAATGTTGCCAACATACATATTTTGCACAGTGTTTTCTTGCGCACACCCGCACGCACACACACACACACACACTCAGACCCACACAGCTACGGTCGGCAACAGACAAGGCAGATGAACGACTTGAGGGATTTTGCTGAAATGACATTTGGCTCCACATGTGACAGGCAGCCAGCCAGGGCAACAACAACAAAAAGCTGCAGCCGTTGGCATTGAAAAAAGCAATTTAAGTCAAGTACAGCAATACACACACACACACACACACACAGGCAGTCGCAGCAATACACCTACACATAGACACAGAGACATGCAATCACGCACACACGCATGCCAATTGCTTTTGTTGGCTGCGCTGCGTGCTCTACCTCCCTCTCTCTCTCTCTCTTTCTCTCACACACACTCGATCTCCTTCCATTCGCCACAGGCTCATTCCGTTTGCAAATTTTGATAAATTGCCGCAGTTACCTTTCGTGGAATGGCATAGAGTATAAGAGAGAGAGACAACGATGCCAGATGTTGTCTGTTGTCTATTGTCTGTTGCCTTGCTCAATGTGACTCAATTTGTATAGAGGTGAAAGCAAGATAAATGCACAAATCGCAACGAGGCGAGCTTAAAGGAATCCTTAAATAAGGATTTCCACATACTAAAGCCATTCAGAATCAGTCTCTCATGCACTAATTATGTGAGAATAAATAGTTCAATACTCTTCACTTTAACTATTATCCAGGTAGTTTTATTGCAATCAATACAAATTGAAATTAAAATCCTAATCAAAATTGAAATCGAACTCAAGAACTTTGCAGATCCGAAAACTTTGTTGGCAAAAGTCAAAATGCCAGTCGAACGATAAATCTATGAAATTATTAGGAACGCCCGAGGAAACAAGGAGCAGGAGCAGGAGCAGGAGCAGGAGCGGGCGCAATAGCACGAGTCTGATAAATGGTCTGCCAGGAGTTGAGTGTGTGCGGGGCTAATTGAATTTAATTGCCCACTTAATGGTGCAATGAGCTGAGTGCAAGCGCACCAAAAGAAAGAAGAGAAAGTAAATCTTGCGAAACTACGTTTTCCCATTTCGATAAACGTGGCGGCAAGGCCGACATCAACCATTTCTATTTGTGTGTGTGTGTGTTTTTTTTTTTGCGATGCCTTATCTCATATCCTTTCAAGTTATGTCCTTCAATGTTATTCTTATTGCTTATTTCTGTAAGCCTTTTGAATGGAATATCAAACTAGTAATATCTATCTTCCTTTTATTTCCTTCTTCTCCTTCTCCTTCTCCTTCTGCCTCTCTCTCTCTCTCTCTCTCTCATACTCCATCTCTCTCTGTCGCTTCTGTAAGGCGATTTTGCGGCGGATTCAAGCAAGGCTTTACAAACATTTGATCGTGTTCGCGGATCCAGTAGACGATGGCTACAAAGAGAAGGGTTTTTAATATATGTATTCAAAATAACAACAATGTCATTACCAATTTTTCGCCCAATCAGAACGGGACAAGCACCATGAAGACTAGCTAGCTCATAATCGAGATTTGAATTCATATTGTACCACAAGATCAATTTGCCCTTCTCCGGATGAACCGCTTGTTTAACTTGGGGAAAGATTGTGCCACCACCCCGAGTCACATCATTGAGCTGCAGAACAAGTAACATTTAAGTAGCTGTTTCCATATGGAACACTCATATGGAACTTACATAAATTAAAAAGGTGGCAATGCGGTCGTTCATGGAGATATTAAAATAGTCCATATGGAGGAGATAATGATCCCCAAAGTCATAGTTAAGATACTGCATCTCGTTATAGCCCTCCCTCTTTATATTTAGATCCGATAGATCGCCCATCCTCTGCTTTAGACGTTGTACCACTTGAGCACTCTCCGGGGATAAGCGATCTGCATGCATAAAAGCGCCTTTTGCAGTTCGAACTTTTGATACAACACTTTCATTGTTGCTTTTCTTAACATAGGAGCGATGCAACAAGGGCTCAGCCGTATTTCTCAGATGCTTTATCTCCGAGTCGTAGATCACATCGTGAAAGACGACAATGTAAGGATCCTCGGATAACAGTTCCATTTTGAATGGGGCTAGATACAAAAACTTTGAGGGTTTCGTCTTATACGAACACACAAGTCGAGTCGGTTGGGGCATATAGGACGACCCACAAAACTTAATAAAGTCATTCTCCATTATGTCTAAGTAAGGATGGTCTTCAATTTTGGTAATCGTATAGTTGCGATGAAAACCTTCTTCAGCTCGCGCTAGCTTGTTGTTACCTAAGTGAAGATAGAGAAAGTCAGGCTTAGCATCGGTTGGTGATAAAGTAACTCACCTGCTGCCATTATGGATCTCGCCAAGAGTGAGGATATTTGAGTACGTGGGACGGTTAACAATTCAAAGGGTGCAATCGGGGACTGATCCCACAAGTATATAGCGAGATGTAGCCAATTTGCAGCATCTGTGAACTGTGATGCCTCGAACAGGTTCGCTCCCATCTCAAAGCAGTCAGAGATCGAAAGCTGTGAACTGTGAAATATATGTGATTAATCATTCGACTGATCCTACGCTCCCATACTTCACGTAAGCTCCATCGAGCAAACCGTGAGCTATATCCGCTGGCTTGAGCTTGTAGATTTGCTGCACCCTGTGAATAGCAGCCACTGCCTCTTTGACACCCTCAAGTTGAGGCAGCTTATCGCGCATTTGCTTGAGAAAATCAATTTGCTCTACAAACATATCAATTAGCACAGAGCGGGCATAGATAACTGAGGGACAACTCACCCAAACCCGCTCTCTGCTCCATGAGCTTCTCCACTTGTGGCCAGTCGAAGTGCATTTGCCGTATGAGCGAATAACTGTGTAGAGGATTGAAGAGAAACTCCGTCTCCGGGTCCTTGGCCAGCAGCAAAGGACTTTCGAGTTGCAGGACTAGCCTGTAAGTGTTTAAGCTCACTATGAATTTCCACAAATGAATCATCATCCAAGGAATACCTTCTCATTGTATCTACCTTCTCCTCTAGTTTATCGGCATATTGATTCAAATTGTCCAGGAGCTGTCTGTGCACCTTCAGCAGATGCAGTTTGTTTAGCAGAGGCTTTTCCACCTTATCGGAAGGTGTAGAGTCAATCGACTGAATTAACATGCCCAATAGAGCCAGGCCAAGAACATCCGAAAGTTTCCAAGATAGTCTAAGCCGCATTGTTTTCATTGTAGTAAAGAACTGCAATGCTGCTGATAAACTGTTTTTAGTTTTGGTCGGAGGAAGGTAAAATAAATTTGCTATGCCTTGGGTTAGGTTAAACTGTGAAAATCTTAATCTAAGTATTGAAAATCGATTCTTTCATTTGAACTTTTTTTCGATAGTGATAAAAAACTCATTTTGGAGGTATTCAATTTTAAGTATTCCAAGAAGGTTTGGAGCAAAATTGTTTTTGTATCCTCAGACAATCTTTGACCTTCACTTTTGCCTTATGAACTTGAACAGAACTCAATCTCAAACTAGATCAAATAAAGTTAGCCCAAATGTTGCAAATGTTGACAAAAGTAGAATAAAATATCAAGAGTGAATAGTGATTATATTATATTATATTATTTTATATATTATATTATATTGATACATAAAATAAATATATATTATGGAATACTACTTGCATGTGTTTAATTTTCGGCTTCAAATCGAAACACTTCTTTAATAGAAGTTACACTTTATATGCCAAACTTCACAAATATTAGGATGACAAGTTCAAGTTAAATAGCAATAATAGAATAGTGCAGGGTATCCCTCTTTAGCTAGGCACTTTGTGAGCACTGCAGCGGAAGAGAAATAGGGAATGGTAACGAGACAAAGGCGGACAGCAAATATAATTAAGAAGGTAAAGGAATAAATCCGACTAGAGACCTACCCAGTCTATTGCTTATCAGGAGTAGCGTTGGGACAGTCGTCTTCATGAAGGCGGATAGATGGCTCCACCCGTGCCATAACACTCCATGCTATATCGTACTATATTATTGTTGATGACGACGGTTATAGATAGACATAAACCGGAAAAGTATGTTATGGTCCCTTATTCTATCTCTAATAGGAATATTAGTATAGAAATACTACTTTGTGTTCCTTATCTCTTCCTACCTTTCTCTGTCTCACTCTCTCTCTCTCTCTCTCTCTCTCTCTCTCTCGCTATCGGTCTCTTTTTGTGCCTCTCTTTCTCTTTCTCTCACTGTCACACACTCTCTCTCTCTCTCCCTCTCTCGTCTTTTCTCTTCCCTCTCAACCATTGTCATGTTCGATGCAATGGTCGCTGCAAGCAAGGTTTCACAAACATTTGATCTTGCTCGTGGATCCAGTAGGCTAGAGCTAAAATAGGAAGAGTCCTTAAGCAAATATATTTCAAGTGATAATGCCATTACCAATCTTTTGGCCGATCAGAACGGGGCAAGCGCCGTGATAAGAGTGGAGCTCATAGTCGAATGATTTGGGATTCATGTTGTACCAGTGGATCACTTTGCCCCTCTCCGGATGAACCGCTATTTCCACGTCGGGAAAGACTGTAGCACCACCCCGAGCCACATCATTGAGCTGCGTAACAGTAACGATTAAACAGTTGCTTATATGTGGAAGCATCATCACTTACATAAATTACAAAGGTGGCAAAGCGATCGTCAGTGAACTGATCATCGGTGTAATTAAAATAGTCCGCGTGTATATCGTAGTGACCCCCAAAGTCATATTTCAGATATTCAAAGGCGTCATCGTTTATCTGTAAGTCAGACATATCTCTCATCCTCTGGAATATGCGCTCCACCAATTGAACATCCTTTGGCGATATTTTGTCTCTATATAGGAAAGCGCCATTGGCAGTTCGAAACTTTATTAACGTGTCTTCTGAATTATCTTCGACAACAACTGTGGCGCGTTGCAAGAATGGCTTAGATATACGGTTCAGATGTTCTATCTCCGATTCGTAGATCACATCGTGAAATACAACCATGTAAGGGTCCTCGGATAACAGTTCCATTTTAAATGGAGCTAGATACAAAAACTTTGAGGGTTTCGTCTTATAAGAACACACAAGTCGAGTCGGTTGGGGCATATAAGACGACCCACAAAACTCAATAAATTCTTTGTCCATTATGTCTAAGTAAGGATGGTCTTCAATATTGGTAACATTATAGTTTCGATAATCCAACAGAAACTGCTCTACCTGATCCCTCAAGCTGGGCTCCTCTAAGAGAGCAGCTCGTGATAGTTCCTCGTCACCTAAGTGAAGATAAAGAAAGTCAAGTTTAGCATCTGTTGATGATGAACTAACTGACCTGCTGCCATCATGGATTTCGCCAAGAGTGAGGATATATCAGTACGTGGGACGGTTAACAATTCAAAGGGTGCAATCGGGGACTGATCCCACAAGTCTCTAGCCAGATGTAGCCAATCAGCTGCATCTGTGAACTGCGATGCCTCGAACAAGTTCGCTCCCATCTCAAAGCAGTCAGAGATCGAGAGCTGTGAACTGCGAAATAGAAGTACATACATATATGTGATTAATCATTCGATTAATCCTACGCTCCCATACTTCACATAAGCTCCATCGAGCAAGCCGTTAGCTATATCCGTTGGCTTGAGCTGGTAGATTTGCTGCACCCGGTAAATAGCAGCCACTGCCTCTTTGACATCCTCAAGTTGAGGCAGCTTATCGCGCATTTGCTTGAGAAAATCAATTTGCTCTACAAACATATCAATTAGCACAGAGCGGGCATAGATAACTGAGGGACAACTCACCCAAACCCGCTCTCTGCTCCATGAGCTTCTCCACTTGTGGCCAGTCGAAGTGCATTTGCCGTATGAGCGAATAACTGTGTAGAGGATTGAAGAGAAACTCCGTCTCCGGGTCCTTGGCCAGCAGCAAAGGACTTTCGAGTTGCAGGACTAGCCTGTAAGTGTTTAAGCTCACTATGAATTTCCACAAATGAATCATCATCCAAGGAATACCTTCTCATTGTATCTACCTTCTCCTCTAGTTTATCGGCATATTGATTCAAATTGTCCAGAAGCTGTCTGTGCACCTTCAGCAGATGCAGTTTGTTTAGCAGGGGCTTTTCCACCTTATCGGAAGGTGTAGAGTCAATCGACTGAATTAACATGCCCAATAGAGCCAGGCCAAGAACATCCGAAAGTTTCCAAGATAGTCTAAGCCGCATTGTTTTCATTGTAGTAAAGAACTTCAACGCTGCATGAAAACAGCTTTTAATTTAGGTCGGACGAAGGTAAAATGAATTTGCTACAGCGCAGGCTATATTAAACTGTAAAATTGAGTTAAATCAATTTTAATTTAATTATTGGAATTAAGTTTTTTTCTTAAAAAAAAAAAAAGTATATATGTATGCGTCTTTTACTGAAAAAAATAAACTCATTTTCATTTTGAAACTATTCAAGTAACTCAAGAGTAACTAGGGTTTGGAATATCAAACTTATGATTGCGTAACTGACAATATCTGTTTTTGACTCCATATAGATAAAAAAGTGAACTAATGCTTCACTAGATGCAGAGTTTATGCAGATCTCTTTTTGTTTTTTGCTATCAATTGTTTTTAATATTTTTTGCAGCTCTGCGGCTATGTTTTTCGCATTACTTTTTGAATTGAATTCTCTTCTTCTTCTGATTACATTCAAGTTGAGTATCGATACAGATAAGCATCGATAACAGTCTCCGAGTGACGCCACGAGTTGAAAGTGCTGGCACTATCGTGGCATTTGGTCATCGATAGTGTGCTACAGCGATAGTGCTCTGTCATCAACAGTGCCGATAGTGCAATCGATAGCTCTCCACTTCTATGTTCACTCACTCCAGCAAATGCTTCAAAGTATCAGATATACACATTATTATTGAGTTTCAATGGAATTGATATTTATTGATAGCAGTGAATTGGTGAAGAGCGCGGCTCAGTCGTCGTACGTTAGGAACTGTATGAGAACTGCAGAGGGAGGGTGAGAGAGTGAATAAGGAGCAGGAAAAGAGAAATACAATGAATGACCAACTAAAGTCAGAGACTTACCCAGCCTCTTGCCCACCACATTGGGACAGAAGGTGATTCGGAATTTGTCTTTGAAGAAGAATACTAGTGCATCGGCGCGACCTGGAAAGGCGGCTAGCTCATGCTTAGCTAAGGTAATGGCTCCACCCATATCCATATCGTTTAGCTAGCAAATTGGAGTAGATTAGGGAAGGATTAAGAGGAGGCGGATAACTGATTGACTTACAAAAAACAGGGCCGTGCTATCCACATTCATTTTCACACCCAAGAACTGGAGTACAAAATAAGTAAAAGATTTTTAGGAGTTTCGTAGTCATGCTTAGGGCTCTGGCTCTTCACCTTATATAGATCCTGCAGCCTGAATGCATCACGTGGACTATACTCGAGCATAAAGAATTTGTCCATGTGCAGCTCGGCTGCTGACATGTCCACCAGGCGTTCCATCAATCCGATTGATATCGGGCTGAAATTATTCGAAATGGAGCAGATCTTCATGCCGGGAATCCGCGTCAGCATCGAGCTCGGCGGACAGCCCTCGAAGGCGTTCACCAGGTGCGCGATCTCGCGCTCTCTAATGCCGTTCCTGTAAAGCATCACCAAGGGATCGTACAGCAGCTCCTCCATGCGCAGTGGCGCCAGCCGCATGAAGGGCGTGAAATCAGTGTTCAGCTCGCAGATCAATTTAAAATCCCTTTCGTAGTTCCCTCTGCACTGCTGCTCCAGCACGCTGGCGTGCTCGACAGGCGTCGACCGAGTGCGACCCGCCGTCAGCAGCTCCAGGTGCTCGTCCAGCGACTCGCTGATGCTCTCTGCCAACAATTCACTTGAGTACGAGCTGTGCACCATCCCAACCTCACCCAACTCACTTTGCTGGCTCAGCTTCTTCAACGTATTGCTCTGCATATAGTTGATCCGCTCGTCCGTGGCGCCCAGCAGCTCGCTGTGGGGCGATGCGGTGTAGTTGACTCTGGCGACGGCCAGCCACTCCAGCGCCTCGTGGTACTTGCCCAGCTCGAACAGCTCGCGCCCCATGTGATAGTAGTCCCATGGGCCTAACCTGTTTGGGCAGTCGTCATTACAGGGTATTCTGTGGGCCGAGCAGCCCCCACCAGAGCTCACCTCAAGTGCTTCTTCCGGTGCATCAGGAAGGCAGCGGGCTTATAATTGTAGAACCTGAACAGCGACTGCAGACTCTCCGCCACCCGCCTGTGCGCATCGGCCTTGGGTACGAGCGCAAGGAGGCGCTGCTGCATCTCAATCTGCTGTCTGCCCACCGAGAGCATCATCACTGCCTGCCACAGCCGCCAGTCGTAGCGGATGTGATTCATCAGCCGGAAGCCAAATATCGGATTCGTCATATACAAATCGGGGCGTCTATCGGCGTATTTTATCAGACGGCTATACTCCTCAATAGCGCTAAGGGGAGAGAGAAAGATAGAAAAGACAGAAAGACAGAAAGGGAGAGAGAGAGAGTAGGACGGAGAGAGTGATGATAAGAGACAGCGAAGAGACGAAGATAGAAAATTGTAGAAAAGAGAAGAGAATAAATGTTGGAAGAAGACAGAAAGGTAAAAACAGGAGGAGAAGAAAGGAGAGAGCGAGGTAGAGTAAGGTGAAGGTAAATAATGCGAATGGAATTGATAAGAGATGGGAACAAAAGTACTTGATAGTAGAAGAGAATAATTGAAGGTGAAATATGAGTAGAGAAGAGAAAATGAGAACTCAAAAAAACGAGGACAGAGAACAAACGACAAACAACAGGAAGAGAATGGCTTAGGATAGCAGAAGTCGGGGAAAAACGAGAAATGGAAGATAAGAGTAAGTGCCAATTCTTTTTCAATTCGACAACTCTTAGAGGGAATCTTTTTTTTTTCACTATATTTACCCCTTCATTGTGTTTACTCTCTCTTCAAGCGCTGACACATAGCTGCGAAAGTTGTACAGCAACTCGCGCTCCAATTTCAAAACATTTTTCAGCTCCTCGACGTGAATACTTTCAGCATTTGCGGCCGCAAGTAGCAGTGGGAGCAGGCATAGAATAACAACCATTATGTCTAGAGCTTTGCACGCGAATGAGCCGAAACGGCGCGCACCTGGCCTTCACCTTGACTAATTGCACATAGGAAATGGAAAAACATTTGACAAGCACAGCCAATTAAATTATGCAGTAGAGTTGCCCAGCTACTAATAAGTTAGCAATGTTGTTTATTAAAAACAATCGATTTGATCAAAAATATTTTATTTTCATTACATAAACACAGTTTTGAAATTTGCCCGTTACAATTTTAATAGCACTAAGAAAGCAGTGTACTGCTTTGCTTCAGAGTTAAGCTATTCCGATTTAAAACACACAAAGCAGTGCACCTATCGATAGTTCTGAGCGCCAGCTTAACCCAAGCTACCGTTAAATTTAAATACATTTTATATGCATCCACAGGAAATTTATTAAATTTGGACAGCTCTATTGTGTCACTGATTGAGGTGCTGCTCAACTGAATCCCGCTCTGGATGAGCATACGACGTGAGTATATTACGATCCGAGATTGCCGCTTCGCAGAGCGCCGTCATCATTAGCGGAATTATATTGTGCAGTCTGCGGCTGAAGGTGGGTCGGCTAATGCTTACGGGACGATCCTTTACCACGAACAAGTGGCACGAGCACGTGGGTAGAAAATGCAGCTAGCTGCAATGATGGCGTCAGATGTGCCGCAGTACCTTCTGGTGGAATTTGACGTTATATCCATCTCATTAGAGCCTTGTCCACGCGAAATAGTTTTATGAATCTGCAGAGCTGTACTTTTGAGTCGAGATACAGCAAATCAGAATACAAACAGATTTGTGGAACTTACTGCTTGTCTATTAAACTAAGCACACATATATTTATGTTGTGCATATTTTTTTTTTTTTCTTCAACTTTGTTTTAGTCGCTTTTTGGGCTGCAAACAAGCGAGTGCAGAAAAAAAAAGTAATTTTCGTTTATTTACTGCATTTGTTTACAATCAGCTGTCCTAGAGATGTGACTTTGGCTTTTCGATATCATCAGTGCGAGAGCTGCCATTTTGTGTTGATAGAGCTGCCGGACTGACAACTGAAAAGCTCTATGATTCAAAACGTACATACATATGAGCTTTCCATAATACGAAAGCTAACAGAACCGTATCGGTAAACTTGTTAGGGGCTTTCCGCTAATTAATTATAATTGCCGTAGCTAAAAATAAATAATGCATAACTAATTTTTGAGTTTATATATTTATACCCAAATATAATGAATTTTAGTACTATTTTTACAAATTCATTTGTAATAAATTGTGCCAGGTAATTGCGAGTATCGATAACAGCACATCTGCAGTGTCTATTCTATCTAACAGCTTCAGAGTGTGGCCAAGAGAAATACACACAATTGAATGTAGCTCTATACTTGATGCTCCCTATAGATATACAAAAAAAAAAAAAAAAAAAAGAAAAAGAACAATTTGTCTGATTTGCTCGCGGCTTCTCAGTTGCATTTGTGCTCTTAGTTGCAGCGGTTGTACGTGTGCCCAACACAAATTAAATGTCTATTTGAAAAGTGCAACAATTTGTGTGTAAAGCGATCAATAATTCTGCAGGGCGGACGCAACGCGCTCTCAAGTGTGGTATATGTGTTAGCAATAAATAATTATTAAAGTTTTTGACAGCAAGAAGTCCCCAAACAACGACATGCTACTGCAGAGAAACAAGTAAAAAACGGAATATGGTTTCTTTAGTTTCGTTTCGTTTCGTTTGTGCTTACGTTTGTGTTATCCATATAATTTAATTAGTGCCTCGCTAAATGTACTTTTTCTGTTTCTCACAATTCTTATTCGCATAGCACATCGCTCCCACTTCATTTCGGCTTGTCCTACACTTCAGTTTTATTTGCGTTTTAGTTATGTCTGTTGACATATGCTTGTTTGTATGTGTATGCGCGTGTATATATGTATGTGTTTGTACAAAATTGTGTTGCCGATTACTTCATCTGCTCACTTTGCTTTATTTCGGCTTTTGTTTTGTTCATTTCATTCTTATGGCGTTGCCAGTGCTAGGCAAGTTGGCCAGCTGTTGGAATTTGGTTGCATAGCAACAACACAACAATACAATAACAGCATTATTATTTAAAAAGTTGTACAATAAATGTTTTCTAGACTAATTTTTGATTGATACTTTATTTTATAAACTTGTTATCAAATTAGTTGGCTGAGTTGTCCTCTGTGGAGTCAGTCTGGCAACGCTGCCCGTTCACTCGCACGCCCGCTCTCGGAGTTGGCCTCAGCTCTTGTGCTCCATTTATTTATTCTATACGCTTTTATTTATACAAAACGATAAAGTGTCTTTTATTGATTTCGAGCCCTCGAACGTGTACACAGCAAACGTCGGATTTATTAATTGAAGGCGATAATCAATCAACGCTTCAGTGTCTGTTGCTCGTTGGCCACTGTTTGGCTGTGTTATCACAAAAATCGCGCGTGTTTTCGTCATACAAAAAAAAAAAAAAATACTTGAGCGCATTTCTTAACAGGTATCTGCTTGTTTATAAATAAGTACTCTCTCCCAAACCACCGTGTGTACATGCTATATAAAATCATCGCGATAAGATAATTGCCACCCGGCTAGTATTGTGACTTTGCCTAATTACATCCCACAGCCCGCAGCCCACGCACATTAGCACTCACGTGCATTTCGCTCAGGCTGAAATGTCAAGAAATTGCGACACTTTGAAATGAGGCGCCATTAGGGAAAAGTTACAAGTTTCCGTGTTCGTGTTAGTGTCGTACCGTTTGTTGTTCTTGTGTGTGTGTCAGTTAACTGAGATTTGTATATATTTGCCGCAATCTACTCGCATTACACTTGACGCCAATTTGGCGCATGGGCTGATGAGCTGTTGATACATATATCTAAGCGACGGGGATGGAGGAGCAAAGAGATAGAAAGAAAGAAAGAGCTTTGTGTGAGTTGTGTCTCTGTCTGGCATCAGGCCAACAAAGCAATGCGCAACAATATACCGCAATTGCCATACAATTCACATATACATACATGCCAATGTGTGCGTGGGATTTAGGTACAGCAAAAGCTCCCTTGAGAGGACATCTCTTGTAGCTTGGGTGATTTTGAAAAAAAAGTACATACAAAACACATTAACCAAAAAAAAATGAAAAAGAAAACAAAATACTTCTAAACATTCTTGCCACCTATTCAACTCATCTTCAATAGACACCTCTTATATGTTCACTAAAGGCAGCTCTCACTGTACAATCACCTGCCTGCGGTATGTGTGAGAATTCACTCAACGTGTGTGCCAACTTGTTGCCTAAGGCAAAACGCTGTCGATTAGATATAACTGTTTATTTAGGGAAACGACTGCAAAAAGCGTTAAGCATATAAAATCAATTAGATTCACAATTAAAACTGAACCTAGCGTCGATCGTCGGCATCGAAGCTGCTCGCCTTCAGCTTTAGACTGCCACGGGTCAGCTGATTCAGATCGATTATGGACAGGTACGGCTTTGGCGGCACATCAATAGGCAGAGCGGCAGCGGCAGCGGCGGCGCGTCGCTTATGGCGACTGCCAGCGGCAGGCTCGCTAGTGCCCAGGGAATACTGATCATGGTGTCCGCAACTGGCGGTAACGGCGCGCCGATAATTGCGATAGCCGCTGAAGCAGCTGCTGCCGGGTGCAATGGGCATGGGACGCGTCGGCGAAAAGCCGCCCTCGTCGGAGGAGACCCCGCCAACTCCTCCGCCACCGCCGCCAGCTGAGTCGTAGCAAATGCTCAGATTGGTGTATGCAATGGGCGCATGGCATCGTGTCGTCTTTGGCCGCGGCTTCACCTCGTAGCGTGTCCTGGAGCGCGAGCGTGAATGATGTGTACGCGGTCTGCCGCGTCGCTTGCCCTGCTGCCTCATCTCGGATACCAGCGGCACGGGCAGGACATTGATGAAGCGATAGTATTGAAGCAGAGTCCGCGCCAGATTGCGCCCAACTCGATGATCTGTGAATTTGATGGATGAGCATGGTTCTCCAACTCCAAGTCTCTAAACTACTTACACCCGTCCTCGTTGTATAGCGCGATCGTCTTGCCATCGCGCAGGTAGTGGCCTGCCATGGACACCTCCAGCGTGTAGGCGTTCACCGTGTCGCTGAGCCGCTCGCAGCAGTAGCGTCGGACGCTGCCCATCTTCCGCTCGTCCGCATTGAACATTGTGTGCTCGGCAATGTAGTCCTTGGCGTTGTTGGCAAAGAGGCGCGGAAAGACGAGATGCCGCTCGTAGCGATAGACGTCCTCGTACGTGTTGCCGTAGATGAAGCAGCCGTGCATGCTGTTGTTCGCGTGCAGATCAATCACAAAGTCAATCTGATAGGTCTGTCAACGGAAGTAAAGGATATTGCAGTGAAGCTTATTCTCCCAGTGTTCGCCTTAGTCTCACTCACATCTGAATTATCCAACTCTTTTAGCACATTCCGGATGGCATGCAGCTCCGGCTGGGTGAACTCGGAGGCCACATGCCAGTTGCGATTCATGTCCTGGCCCATCAGATTGCAGCGATTGTTGCCCAGAAAGACCCCGTCCGGATTGACCATTGGCACAATTTTGAATACGAAATTCTCGCGCAGCACCTGCGCAATGGGATGATTCCCCACCAGAAACTCGATTAGGCCCTGGCACACATGCGATGCGGGCGCTTCGCTCGAGTGTGTCCTGCACAGTATGACAATGACCCGTATGAAGCTACGCTCGAGCCGGTTCGTGGACCGCTGGCTGTGCGTCACCTGGTCAATTGTGAGCAGATCCACATTGCGATTTTGCTGTGAAGATAGATTGCTATATCGATCCGAATAGGAAGGCGGATTACGCAGTGAGACATGCTTACCAAAGACTTGACGAGAACGCTACGCGTGAAACGCTTCTCGGTGCCCTGGCGTGCATCGATCACATTTAAATAGGACTGCAAGCGGGAGTAGCTGTACGGCATGGCCAGGGCGAACATGTACACATCCTCCTCCTTGTCGAAGTTGAAGCCAAAGCTGAGCACATAGTGTCCCTGGTGCATGGCCGAGCGATAGAAGAAGACCTGACGCTTGGGCAGCCGCTGCCACTTGGGCCGGCTGGAGGACTTGACGAGCGGCGTCAGGCCGGAGTTGAACAGATTGCGGCTCTTACTGATGTTCACAATGTTGAAGAGCACGCGCTGATCCTGCTTCACATTGTCCACGGTGAAGTTGAACCAGAAGCGAAAGCGCGGATTGCACGTGTCCGGGCGCAGAAACAAATCGTACTCGAACTCGCCCACCAGCTCCGCCTTGCCCAGATTCCCGGTCTCGAAGGCCGCATCGAAGCACAAATGGCCGCGCTTGGCCTTGCCGCTCTGTCCGGGCGGACGGATTATCACGCGGGAAACGTTGCCCAGTCCGCCCTCGCCATCGCTGTCCTCGCTGTCTGGAATGGTATACGAATATAGCAATAGAATGCAGATCGCACTTGAGTTATAGGCTGTAAGCTGAGCATTATGGAATCCATTGAGCAAATACCATCTGAGCCGCGATCATACATGCTCGTATGCTGCAACGGGTCGCAGGCTATGCCCAACATCTTGGCAAATCTCCGCGAAAGCCGCCAGCGTCTAGGACTCTTCTAAGGCAACTAATGCAAGTTTCTAATCCTGCAGCAAAGCTGTCACAAGTTTCAACAGCGACGCCTTACCATATCGCAAAAGGTTAATCCGGCCGGGATTCTATCTTTAAACTCGACAGAAGGCACGTATGCGTGTCTCGGCTATCGCAACTGGTGCAACTTTTTTTAGAGCCGCCTCAAACGTCAAATTGAATAGTCGCGGTTGCGTTGCCTCCCCGTTGCACCACAAAAGAAAAAGGAGGCGGAAGGAAAGGAACAGCAGCCGCACTCACCTGAGTCGCCCATGCCGCTGGCAACTTGATTGGATTACAGCTGCTGCTGTTGCTGCTGCTAACGAGGCTGGCAGCGCATTGACCCGCTTTGCTGGCAAATCAGAAATAGAATTTCAATTAGCGCCCATATAGTGGCCGCCCACTTTTTGGATTTATGTCTTGCCGCAGGTTTCTATTTCAACTTTTTGTTTTTTTTTTTTAGATTTATCCACTTGGGCCTTTCACTTTCGCCAATTCGCGTGCGATGTCTTGGCTAAAACTTATAGATTCCAATCAGCGTGAAGACTGTGCGTCGCTCTATCGCCCAGGCATTAACTGCCACTGGCCGCTTGCCCCGAGTTGGTCTGAATGAGTGGCACACAGCCGCGATGACGATGGCTGCCGCTGGCCTGTCTAATGTATTGCTTGGCACTTTTGACGTTGCCATACACACACACACACAGACACACACCTGAACTGCTGCTGGCAATGGTTCACATGTGCGACTGTTTGATCGATAAGAACGCGCGCAGTTGGCATTGCGGTTTTGGCCAGGATTCCCACAGTGAAATTGCGTCACGGCAGTCGCTTTAACTTTTGGCAGCGCAAACTTCGCGCAACTCGCATTAAGCAAAAGCGAAAAGCAGAGAACTGGGCAACGGCGTTGTCAAAGTTGCAGACTTAATTGCCTGCAGCGCGTTGCAGGAGTCACACACACACACGCGCACACACGTATCATAAAATAACGCCACTCGCAACCGGCTGAAACTAGTTCACGGGGCTAATCAATAAGGCGAGCAGGAGCAGGAGCGAGATACGACATAATAAGTTAAAGACAGACGTGTGGGGCAACGCGTTGTTGTACACGTATTTGTGACAGCCACTGTCGCCGCACTCTTTCACCGTACATAAACAACACCCATAACTAGCAAGCCCATAGCATGTCCAAGCGCAGGTATCCTTTAATGTGCCCCGCCCACCGCCCAGCCCAGTGTTTCAATTATTGTTTTATTGCTATTTTGGTTTGTGCTCGTCGTGTTTTGTTGTCGCCAGTCGTTCGATTGCTTGGCTAATCTGAATCTGAATGGTTTACTTGCAGGCTAGGCAGTGTACGCCCACCGAAACGTTGCAGGAGCGACATGGATAACATATCCACCTCGGACATTGTCATCATCAATGGCAACTCGCATCCGGACTTGGCCAACATGGTGGCCGAGCGCATGGGCCTCAAGAACGGCGGCTGCTCGGTCTTTCACAAATCGAACCGCGAGACCATCGTCGAGATAAGCGACTCGGTGCGCGGCAAGGATATATACATCATACAAACGGGCACCAAGTGAGCTATCAAAACTATATATCAACAATTCTGAATGCTCATAGTAAATTTGATCATCCGCTTATTGATTCCACGCAGAGATGCCAACAACAATATTATGGAGCTGCTGATCATGGCCTATGCCTGCAAGACATCCTCGGCGCGCTCCATAGTCGGCGTCATACCCTACTTGCCGTACTCGAAGCAGTGCAAGATGCGCAAGCGTGGCTGCATTGTCTCCAAGCTGCTGGCCAAAATGATGTGCACCTCTGGGCTGACGCACATCATCACCATGGATCTGCATCAGAAGGAAATCCAAGGCTTCTTCGACATACCCGTCGACAACTTGCGCGCCTCGCCCTTCTTGCTGCAGTACATCCAGGAGAGCGTGAGTGGTAGTTGAAGCTGTTGTGCTCATGTCTGTATTAAAACTTGATTTGGCCTGACTCTTCAACGTAGATACCCGACTACCGCAACTCGGTGATTGTGGCACGTAATCCGGGCGTCGCCAAAAAGGCCAATTCCTATGCGGAGCGCCTGCGCCTTGGCCTGGCCGTTATCCACGGTGAGCAGAAGGAGGCTGAGAGCGACGAGGTTGACGGCAGATACTCGCCACCGCCCACCAGGTAAGTCTCCACGCTGATCCACGCCGGATTCCCCTTTCTGTATGTTGAGACTCTTTGTTTATATCTGGCAAATGCACATGAAACAAATATTTTGCAAAATATTTTCTTGATTTGTATATAGTATACGATCCGCACCATTATTTCTTCTGCGAACTTTTGCTTGTTTACACTCGATTGTTGTAGCTATAGGGCGCGTACAATTATGTTTGTTTTTTCAACTTGAATGTTTTCCCGTCCAAAAGCTGTGTCTTCATTTCATTCTCAATGGCAAAAGCAATCGGCTACGGCTATGGCTTCGGCTTCGCCAGTTGTAGATCCATTGTAGTCGTTGCTATCCTAAGCTAAATAAACAGTGGGAACATTTGCATTTGGAGGGATCCGTCATGAAACACGCTTTGTTTTAGCAGCTGATAAGTAAGAGTTTGATGTTTATTGTAGTAGTTTTGGTTTATAGGTCAGCAGCCGCTGAGTTGATAGCTTATCAAGCTCTTTCCATAATGTAGATTCTTGGACTTTCAATAAACTTTGTGTAGACGAAAATCATCGCTCAACTAAAATCATTTTATTGACAACTCGTGCATAACCCTGAAACTGTCTGTATAAGTCTTGTTCATACTTCTTTATATAGACTTGTCCAGCTGCATATATACATACATATATATTTTATGTGTCATTAATTCAATTGAAAAACCCATTGACATTGCTTTCAAGCATTAATTGAATTGAAAACCCCATTGACATTGCTATCAAGTTCGAGCCATGCCCTACCATGCCACGACCTCATGTAATTGTTGTTCATTTGTACTTCTAGAGAACAGCTGCATTGTTGGGTGCAAGTACACGCCCCTTCAGTCCGCTTTAGCTCGTTCTGTAGCTTAACGCATTTATTTGCTGTGATTCGCAAATTCCACAGCGAAAAAAAAAACAAAACGAAAAAACACTTCTCTCTTTCTTTATTTATGCAGGGCGTATAGCGATATTTTAGGAAATTCTGTTGAAATGTGCATGCCAGCGGCGTCTAGGTTTGTATTTTATATACAAAATATAAATATGTGTACATTTGCATATATGTATATGCTCGATATTCTTGACTTGTGTGAATTGTTTATGTATTGTCATTTTTATTATTCTTTATTTTTTGGTTACTACAACGAACCACACCAATACCTCAACAACAACAACAACAACGCACTACACTACATACATTTGCACATGTCAATTCGACACCACCAACACCACCCACACCACACAACCACTCTGCACATTAAATGCTCAATATGCCAACTACGCGACACTAATCACAAGAAACTCTACTCCGCAACATGCACCCAGTAGCAGCCGTCAGCGCACCACCTCGGTGTCGGTGGGTGTGCCGGAGCATCCAGTGAAAGTGAAGCCGCCGCTGACCATAGTGGGCGATGTGAATGGACGCATAGCTATTATGGTGGTATGTGTGGCAATATAACATGAAATTCGAGTCGGAAGAGCATCATATAGATAGTTAATTTTTGTCTCTCTCTCTCTCTCTCTATCTCTTTTCCTGCAGGACGATCTGATAGATGATGTGCAGGCGTTTGTGGCCGCTGCCGAAATGCTGAAGGAAAACGGTGCCTGCAGAATCTATGTGTTGGCCACCCACGGTCTGCTTAGCTCGGATGCGCCGCGCCTGCTGGAGGAATCAGTCATCGATGAGGTGCGTTCCGGCCTTTCTAGATGTTGACTCTTTGCCTAATTTCGATTCCTCGCTTTTAGATTGTTGTCACCAATACCATTCCACATGAGATTCAGAAGCTGCAGTGCAACAAGATAAAGACCATCGATATATCTATTCTGATTGCCGAGGCCATACGCCGCATTCATAACAAGGAGTCTATGTCGTATTTGTTCCGTAATGTCACGCTCGAGGATTAATGAAATGCCTGTTTTTATGTCACACTCACTCACACACACCCAGGCACAGACACACACACGCATCACATGTACTATGTCACAAATTGTCAGTAGCCAAGTGAAGTAGCTTCATAGAAGTTGTGTCTTCTTAATATTGTTTGTTTACCCCTCCCCCTCCCCCTCCCTTCCACTTTAATTTTATTAAATAAAAACTATTGTAAAATTGCTCAAATAATACAAATTGGCAAATTCATATACACATATTTATATTTTAATTGACATACGAATAAAATGTGAAAAATATTTTGTATACTCTTCTCTCGTTGCATACTTTTTGGCTGACACAAAAACAACAGAACAAAACAGTTCTCACACACACACACATGTAAATTAAGTCGACGTCATTTATGGCCATCTTAACTCATATGAAAGACAAACAGTACCAATTTTATAAACCATATGCCAACTGCGGAGGCAAATAAACAAAGCAAGGCAAGGCAAGACAAGCCAAGGCATTTGGGCAGCTCAGTGAATGCAAATGCGAGTGCTTAAACAGTTTATCAACAATTTAGCTAGCTGAAGTCTCACAATAAATAATAGTAATTGGCCAATTTGAGCAGTTAGCCAGTACGTCAATTAAGGCCATTTTGGCGGAAATGCGACACTTAAGCGTCATTAAGTATTAAATATTGATTAACAGACGGCTAATCGGAGCTAATCAGTCGCATTGTTCCCTTAATTTCTGCTCAAATTTATAATAATCGTAAAGCGTACAACAGGTACAAATAAATAATTGTTTTTTGTTTTTGTTTTGTTCTTTTCATTTGTTTGCTGCCGCCGTCATTAGGGCCAATTAAGTTTTTGTTAAATTAAATTTATAGTACAAACTTAAAATTACAAAAACAATGTTGAAATAATATAATTTATTATTACCTGGCAAATAAATCAATTTAATGCAAAGCAAAAATTTTCCAGCTTTTGTAAAAAGTTGTCGCTACTTATTATATAAACAAATTTACCTTTTTTTTTTTTTTACATGAATAATAAATTATTGCGACGACTGACATGCTTCACATATAAGATATTTCAGCAAATATTTATTCATCTGTCGTTGCATTCTGTTGTATTTTATTTCGAGTGCGTTACGGAAATGAGCATGAGAACTCGATAAGATTGCGGAGCATCTGAGGCGGTGCAGCGGCGACTTGCAATTCCCGTTACGATTAAACTGATGACGAGCTGAAGCTGCGAGCCTGTCGCATTCGATGCATGTGCCAATTAAAATCACAAACATTGCACTTGCGCACGCCTTATAAATGAAACATGAGCCCAGCTTAAGGGCTGCCCAAGCAAACAAATTGAGTGTTTAAATATGCAAATGACATAATAAAATGCCGCAAATGTCCGTATGCATTTCCATATGCAGCCTCAGCTGTTTGCTTATCTAAATAACGTCTGATGCGCCTGCCACGGAATGTGCGCTAGTAATTTATTACTTGTGTTTGGCTTGCAAATCAATGGGAATATTTCAGATGCTTGCAGGTTCGTATTCTGAGATCTGACATATATAAGGTTACCTAACTTGTAGTTCGACTAAAAACTGCAGATCCTTAACTGCGCTAAACTGTTTTTTATTCAACTAGAGAACTAACTAAAAATATGATTAATGGGTAGTGTTTATCATTAAAGCTGGCATAAAATGCCATAGACAGACAGAACAATTAAATCTAATGAAACTTATTTGTTGAGTGAATATACGTAATTGCTTAACTCTTGACGTTCAGTTGATATTAGCTTCTATACCTCGGAGTCTGGGAATAAATCATCTATGAAGCTGGTAAAGCTCATCGTAGGTCTATTACACATTCGAAGGGTTAGCCTTCGGTCTATTACATGTTCTTCAGCAATCGCTCATCTTCTCACTCTCAGACACATATGCCCCTTATCTAATTTTATATATGCCAGTACAGTCTTATTTCAACCAATGAAACTTCTGTTCCACTTTTAACAACTAATTCATATATTTGCCTAATAAACTTTTAGAGCCTCTTAAATATAACATTAACCAAAACTCTGCTTAAAAGCTTTAGTGTAATAAAATTTAAATACTATTCATGTGCTACATTCTTGCAGCACAATATTCAACATCCACGATCCAAGATCCCTCGAAAAAATATCTAATATAATATAAAAGAAATAATATATCATTGCGCATATTTGTTTAGCAGGAGGTCACGCGATAAATGTCCGCTATTTGCTCGAAGAAACC